TTATAAAAATTAAATTAAATTAAAAATAAATTAAATCTGAATTTAATTTGTATTTATAAAAATTAAATTAAATTAAAAATAAATTAAATCTGAATTTAATTTGTATTTATAAAAATTAAATTAAATTAAATTTAATTAAAATATAATTTAATTAAATCCATTGTAATTATCAGTATCTAGTTAAGATTTTGTCTTATTTAATCTAAACTAGTTTAATGAATTTTTTATAATTTTTAAGTAATATAATTCTTCTATTAATAATGTATAAAGACAAGTTAGTTATTATTATTATTATTTTTAGTATCTGTAGTCAGGCTAGATTATTAGTTTATTAATCACTTGAAAATATAAGTACATTTTTATTCAAGCAATATAATACATACTACAGCTAAACTATTATTCTAATTTAATTAACTTGTCTTAAATATCAAAGCCTCTAAGTTCAGTCTTGAAAACAATATTTCACTTTATAGTATCTTTGGATAAAAATCCCCCTAACCCATTGCATCATTATCAGCAGGTTGTTACTGCTGTAAAACAAGTTAATTATTATGTAAAAGTCTATATAATATTGTAGATATATATTTTAATAAAGATATATTATGATTAAATAATTATAAATTAAAAAAAATAATAATATATTATACAATAGCTTTGATAATATCTAGTGTATATTAATTCCTAATCAATATAAGTGACTTTATAAATAAACTATTCTTAAAAATATAGTAAATAGCTCTAACTATAAATTAACTATAAACTTTAAGATACTGATAAGAAACACATTAAACAATATTGATAAACAAGCTCCTATTGATTACTATATATGTCTAAATACATTTTTTCAACCCCATAAAAATCTAGAGTTTACCATAAGTTATATATGTTAGTGCAAATGAATATAAAGTATGTCACCGATATATTATTGAATATAAAAAAGAGTCTTTTCAATCATGATAAAGGTCACAAGATACTTGATTGACCTTTTTTTAAGTCAAAGTTATCTATATCCTGATTGTATGTTAGATAAGTTTCAACCTTTACTATTCAGAAAAGTCTAAATCAGAGAAAGTATAGAACTATCAAAAATACTCAATAGTAAAGCTTGTGCATAAAACAATCTGAAAGTTTTCATCCTATCTTCAAAAAATCTCAAGCTGAAAAATTGGAAGGCTAATGCTGCTTTATATATCAAAACTTGAGTCTGAAAATACTAGCAATGACATGTGAATTGGCCAGATAATTTAAAAGATTCTTGTTAATTGCTAATAATAATGATTATCAACAGGATATATTTACTGCAAGACTAGATGCTATCTTTCTTATAAGAAATTAAATCTGAAATAAGATGTATAGATGGATAAGTATATTCATATTTAAATAAAAATATGTTTAATTGATGATATATTGGAAGACTCTCAAGTCACCTATGTGGATACTAATATACAACCCAGGCTTTTCTAATTACTTCCTCCTCACAAGTCTTAAAACTATAAAGTCTTCCTTATTTGGCCTTTATCTTATCCTTGTAAAGACTCAGTAGAAGTTTTTTCCTTCAGAACTTCATATAGGAAGAATTGGAATAAAACAGGTATATGCCAAGAAACAAGACTGATATGCTTGCAGAAATACATATAACTATCAAATTTTTTATTTTTTATTTTTCTATTTATTTTCTTTTTATGATATCAGCATGTTCAAGGGATACTAATTTTTCTATAATAAAAAAAAGGACAATAAGCCTCAAAGTAGTTTTAGAAATAGCTTTAACTTATTGTTATTTTTATCATCCCTGAATATACACCCATGCACTTGTGCTTAGCACAATGTATATATGTAATTTGGAAAACAATAAAGTTAGGCATGAGCCTGTCACAAATAAATAAATAAATAAACTTTAAGATAGAATAGATTTAATTTACAATTGCTTGTAATATTAAAGATATATTGCCTCTAATAACTTCAATAAAGGAAGTTGGCTACTAAAAAAAAATAAAAATTTTTAATAATATAATTAGAGTTTCGAAAATAAGACGTATAGACTTGCATATACTGTAGATTAAAGTATTATAGTTTCTATCATTATTAATGATGCAATGTCTTTCCTCTTTTGTCGAGTCGATGGTCAGTCTTAACGTGAAAATAAATTATAAGTTAGGTTCCGGACTTAATAATAGTTTTTATTTTAATAAACTAAAATTAGTTCAAGCTATAATTTTCATATCAATAAACAACAACCATTGTGATAACAAAGTAATTTACAAGAAACAAGAAACTATTGCATAATCACGTTTATTCTATCAGTGTTTTCTGAAGATAATTTTGAACTCTGAGTTCCAATGATCTGAATTAGTTGAAGTCAGTTCAGTATCAAAATATTGTACCATGTAAGGAATTTGCGTAACAAACAACTTACTTTCTTTCCTCTTTTCGATACAATAAATTCAAAGAAAACGCGGCTCGCCAAACGGGCAATATGCTGTAGATTCGAACATGCGTGTTTGAAAACAATGGATAATGAAAAAATTGGAATAGCAAACATTTTAAGAACTCACATTGCATCACGTTCCTTGTCGGGTTTCGTGTATGTCACGATACATCCCGTTTCTATAAATTCTTGATGCGATATCATTCTAGAAATTCTAAGACGCGCGCATCTGTAACAATATTTTTTAGGTAAGTTTAATTACCTAATTCCTTTAGCCTCGTTTTGATTTTTTCATCGAATCGCTCTATGAGAGGAGTAGGTTCCGACAATAATATTTTGAGATCTTCTAATTCAAACTCAACGACTCTCCTGTTGGATATAAAAGGATAAATTGTTGACATTCCCTCCGAATTAAATCGAAACTCGCATTTGATCGCTTCGTTAGTTTCTTGACGCGTAAATGTTCTTATGCCGGTGTTTACTACCTAAAAAAAAAAAAATATATATATATATATATATATAGTAAGTTTCGTGGGTATTCTTTTTGAAACGCGAACGAATCAAGATCGCTCAAAAAAAGAAAGGAGCATAAGAAATACCTTTAATCTTTTGCTATCGGATGCCTCCAATACGCGTTTGACAGACTCGGACACGAGATACATCGTCCTGTTCTTTTCATTCGTTGAACGGACAAGCAGCTGGTCTGTTGGAAATTTCTCTGATAACCCGTAATATTCTCTATCGGATGGTATGAATAATCGATAAGATCATGTGTAAGAAAGGCAAAAAAAAAAGAGAAGCAAGTAATACAAACTTAATTATAGGTATATCCTCATTATCAAGTTCTAGGAGAATGAATGGTTCTTCCCCCCCTTTTCTTTGCGGAGTGGACTGATCGATGTTACTGTCTTTGAGTTCCTTGGTCTTTGCACGTTTATTTAAATCACCATCGGACGAGTAGATTCTTGACCTTTTTCTGTGAGTATGATCTGCCACATCATTGTCCTTGTCTTCGGAGTCCTCGTTTACATCATCATAAGTAGCAATGTCAAGTTCTTCATTGTCCGTGTCTTCGGTCTCTTCAACACCTTTGTGGTCATCATCGAAAGTCACAGATGCGCCTCCCGTTGTATCATCTTTATTAGTGGAAGGCGAATCATCGACGGGACTAATATCGGTAATTGGACCCGTCTTTTGTAGTACGGCAATGAAAAAACCACCAGTGTCTTGAAAATGCGGATATATTCGCATGCTATTTTCACACAATAAGGATTAAAATTTCGACACACACGACCGAAACCAAAATGATGTATCTGAAATCAACTTACCATCTCTCTAAATTCAAATTATTTACATTCGAGGGTGGCCAGAGTGATTTTTCGTATTTACTTCTATATTTCGGATTTATGTCCTCTAGTTTATCGACCCACACGTTTTCCTTGCTCATCACCTATTATCATTATTTACAAGGAAGATATTAAGGTGTGTTTTATATATACGACCTACGCAATTACCTACCTTCCACGTTGTCAATCCTGGCGCCCTAATCAGATTTGGCAGCTGATCAGAGACATCCACGAGTTGCAAGTTCCCTAGACGCGTAATAACAAGAATCCATATTATTTTTTAAAGGAGAATGCATTCTTCGTTTTTGGATAAGGATAGAAAATTTACCTTTACACCTTCTTAATACTTCAGCTACCACTGCTTCATTTTCCAGGGGGTTCATTGAACATGTGGAGTACACGATACGACCATTTTCCTTGGCAAGCTGAGCACCCCGAAGTAATATCTTTACCTGGGTACTTTTGTTGGACAGATGAACCTCGGAAGATTAATGATCCAAGTATTGATTGTATCTAACGTTAATATAGAAATCGAAATGCTTACGAATGAATACCAATGGCACCCCCCACATTCCAATTCTTCCAAACCAAATAATTCTTTCTCAAGGTTCCATCACCACTGAAATAGAAAGAAGTGAGCAATTTAATAAAGATCACTTCACCGCCCGCACTCGATCGTATATCACCTGCACGGGACATCGGCCAGAACGCGATCAAATTGTATCGGTCTTGGTGCACCGTCTGTACCCTAATTGAAAGGGAAATTTTTTGCTCCAGCGGAAAAAGAAAGGGCTAGAAAGAAAGAAAAAAGGAGAGAGAAAGAAGACAAAAGGAGTTTATTTACCTGCTTCACATAAATGCCGGGAAATTGTGTCGCATCATGATTCGTGACCATTAGGCATGGACTTCTCAACCTCTTTGTTTGGTGAACGAGAGTATAACTTCTTCTAGGGTCAGCGTCATTCGCAATGACGATACCGGCTGCGCAAAATAATTTTAATAATTTTTGGCAATATGAATAACATCGCTTCGAAGAGAAGATCTCAATTACAAGGGATATTGTTATCTCGCGTATCGTTCGCGTGCATTGCTTCAATTATCTGTGCTGTCTTTGATCCGGGGGCTGCGCACATGTCGAGCACCCAATGATCCGACTTAACATCAAGAAGCAAAGGCGGTATCATGCTGACAGCTTCTTGACGACTAATGTTACCCTTATTTTCAGATGAGGAAATAAAAAATGTTGATTTAAATCATCATCATGATAATAAATGAGATACATCGATCAGTGAGAATGTCAATCGACCAACCACTTCAGTTTCCGAAACCAACCACCTATGAAATGTTTGAAATTCAGGTTCTTTCTTGATAATCATCCGTGGTGCGGAGTGTTGCCATCCGAGCTCATCTGGATACCTGGTGGATCAAATCCAACAAGACAAATACTTTAATGATGCCTCTCTCACAACGAATCCCGTGGTGAAACAGATTGACGAAAGATAAAATTACTTTATGAAAGCAATCGATTTTTTTTTAATGTAAATCTCTTTACCAAATCAAAGGTCTTGGAGCTTCCGACCTCTTATCGTCGCCGAATTGAATTTTATTTAACTTTGGTACGAACACGTTTTTCATCAAGTCTCTTAATTCAAACGCGTGACTTTGTTTTAAAGAAGTGACACACGATGCATGCAAGTTAATTCGAATGGTAAAAGAGGAGGCAGAAGTCGTAAATTCAGCGACGCCTTGTGAAATCCTGTTTTACCTTCTGCTACCGGTGATTCGGAAAGAGGTTGGAAGAGTGATCCTAATCACCTCCAAAAATTTGCTCCATTCTGCCTCATCGGGTATAATGCTTTGAACCTTTTCAAAATGAAAAGTAAAAAAAGGAGCGGAAAGAGTTGAAGGAAGGAATCTTTAATCAAACATTATTTATCCCAATGTTTATACGGACGGACAATCAAGATCAAATTTTGGCAATTGTCCATCATAATATTTATTTCAAGAATTGAGTTTAGACGAGAGTTGCCAAGCTTCGATATTACCTTGTAATAATTCTCAAGAGCTTCGTTTTTTCTGAGGATGTCATCAAAAGGTACCTTATCGTTGGTCCTCTCCCTCGGCTCTTTGTTCCGACCTTTTTTCCTCCTCTTCCAAACCATGTTCCTGACTAGTGAAAAACAATTACTTCAGATCAACACCTTGAGCAAATCATTTTATACGAAGTTTGAATTGGCACGTGCTTTGACGAAAAAAAAAAAAACTGATTATGCAGTACACAAAAAAAAACTTTTTTTTTATAATACAAGGAATTATTGTAAAAACGTAAAAAAATTTGGAAAATAATAATGATCAGATTAAACCGTAAGAGAATAGGCTAATTGCAACGCAAACAGCTAGATACCAAAATAAAATCGATTCAGTGCTGGCATTAGAGGTTTTGCGTGTAGAAGTGGTGATTGATGTAGAGATCTTAGCTTGAACATTTGTCCGAGTTGTGATGCCTGTGGAAATTGGGCCAGTTTTATGAATAGATTTAGAATGCGACTGAACTGTAGGTTTCTTGGGTAGTTTAACCGGCGTTTTGATTGGCTCCGTTCCAATAGAGTTGACTTGAAGAGATGACGAGGGAGAGTGCGAAGGTATAGGGTGAGTGGTGAGACGATGAGCGAGTGTAGAATGGGTGGCGATTTCCTCTGTTGAAGCCAGGTGAGGAGTTTCTGAATACGAGGTTCTTGGTGGCGATGTCTGTATGTTGTGCGACGGTCACGATTATTGGTTCATTATCATCAGATGCCTAACAAATTTGTAAAAAATATTTACCGCAACCTTGGGACTTGACGGTGGCGAGACGGTCAAGGTAGTCGGAACATAATGGGTGACCACATGAACGATTTTCTTGGTTACTGTCACATATTGGACTTCATTTCCGTCAGCTTTTTACGCGCGATAAAATTCATTCGTGAGAAAAGACGAAGAGGACGAAGAAAAATACACGAGATCAAACCATTACCATTTATAAATTGTGTTGTCAACGCGAACAAAGCAATCGCGAAAAGGTAAATCTTAAACATCGCACAAAAAAGGTAGAAATCGAGAACGTGGAAGATTTCGATTCCTCTGGACATTATTTATAAATGTACGCAGGCGATTGACTCTTTCTGGCGTTAATTAAGCTCGTTATTAATCTGGAGTCTAATTCTATTACATCATTGAAATCATATATTATTATTCATTATGGTGGTTAAATGTCAGCGGAAAAATCTGTTTGCACGCCAATCATTTGATTGTAATTTATCTTTAGTTAAATTATAGGCGAAATGCACTTTTAACATAAAGATCAAGGATTAAATGAAAATTGATATTTATTATTCATTGTTCCAGGACTAATTGTCCCAATCAATAAAACAAAAATTTCTACAGAAGCATATTTATTTACAGCCTTTAGCCTGCTTATTTACAAATTTACTATACAATATATCAAAAGAAGTAGAGTCGACGAGTTGGGCGATTATTTTCTGCTGCAGTCAACGATGTCTCCACAAACGTATCGTGTGTCTACAAAATGAACGGCACGGCACTCATTAAAAGCGGAGGGATTAAACAGACAGATGATCAATCATGTGCCTACCGTTTGCGAAATGAATAACCACCGAGCGTCCGAGCACATTATTAGGTTGTTCATCTATAGACAAGAATTTGTCCAGATACTTCACTTTATTGGGTCGTCCGCCGATAAGCGGTTTGTGCTTACCTATAGATGATTTAAAGATCAGTGGGAAACCCGGAGTGTCGATAGCGATAATGAAAAATAAATTCATGCTTTTCTAACCAGACAAGTCGCCATCTTGACATTTTTCCGGCTTTTTAGGATTACAGACATAGCCTGGCGCTTTTCCGGCACCTAAAAAGGAACGTGATGAACGTACGCGCGTAAAAACATTGATGATAAATGAGACACAAAAAAAAAAAAAAAAAGAAAAAGAAAAACCAACACACCCGTAGGATCAAGGTGGCCCCCGGCGGTAGCGCAATTCTTATTGCGGATGGGTGAAACATGAACATGATAAGGATACTTTTCACCACGGATAGTTAACCCAGACAAGATGTCAACGCTGATCTCAAGTCCTTGTTCGCCTTTAACTTTTCTAAAAGTGATAGAGCCATCAACCGGACGACGAAAACGAACTATCGCACAATTTTTTCTATGTTTTTCATCCTCTCCTTGGGCCGATGAAAGAAAAAGGGTGGCAAGAATGGATAGAATTAACAAAATGGATCTCATATTGGGATTTCTGTTATCTCTTGAAGGAAACCTGTACGTGTCTTTATAAGGTTTTCGTCACATATGCGTGTACCACTGTGCGAAACTTTTTGGCGCACACTAACTTCGACGACATGAACTCAGTCGAAGTTTATAATGATCATTGATATCACAATTAAGAGAGGCTAGTAAAAAAAAAAATAACGCGTTTGTTTACAAAATTCGGGTCCGCGCGTGTGTTCAAGTTTATAATGATCAATTGATATCATAATTAAAAAATATAACACGTTTGTTCATAGATTTGATTAATCATTTTCTCTTCTCTCTTCGGCGACACATTTCCGATCTTTCTCGGGCAGGCAATAATAATTCATTGATGTTATTAAAGATCTTGGAACCTAAAGTCTAGCTTTCAGATGTTATCAGATCAAACATTCGCCAGTGACTGAATCATCCATTGTTAAATATGAGATGTGCCTGTGCTTGATAAAGGATACATTGCACACCACACTTTTATTAATTTTTAGCACGATCATTGCGAAGTATCATGGAGATATCACATTTCGACGCTTATGACATCTTCGATCCCAATTCCAGAGGGATCATATATTAAATCTTGGCTTCGACGACAAGGAGGGGTATGATCGAAATCGAGAGTTGTGGCCAGCAGTATTGAAAACAAATGAAGCAAGCATCGTGTGATCCTAGCATAAAGAATCGATGTTACTGCTTTAAAACCTTACTGTCACGTGTCAAGGGTTATTATATAGATTTTCACATGACAACTAATAATTCATATATTCGTAATTATTTATTAACAATTCATCAATTATTTATCTTTTTTTTTTTTTTTTTACCCTCTGTCAGGTTAGTTATGTGTGCTTTATTAAACATTTGTAAGCTGTACATATTAAATGAAATGCTAAAGCTAAATCTCTAACTAACTCATTCGTTTTGATTATATTACCTCTCTAAGTACAACTTTGTGAATGATTTATCATTCCATTAGAGGTTCAGGTGAAAATCCTTTCAACTTCTAACATCATTGCCTGCAGGTTACTACTGCAGATCACTTTTTTGAGCTCTGACAGAGATCAAAACCTCAACCACCTCATACCATACTTCACTCCATTTAATAGGATTTCTTCTAGCTTCTTGTCTTCAACTTTTTTTTTTTTTTTATATCAATTTCTTTTTTTTCTTTTTTTTTTTAAAGTTGTTACTGACAAGGTTTATTAGAGGTAAGATTGGACAGTACATATGATTACATGAGCAATTCGTGTAACTAATTTTAGTGCTATCTAACCTTCATATCTTATAAACACTAGTTAATTTTACCTGCAAGGTACCATTATGTCAGTATGCCCTGCTCTATTCAGGCAGTGATGTTCACAAAGATCCATCATAGACTTGTATTGGTTTAATTATCAAGGGGTTGGAATTGTTACCATTGAGAGGTGTTGAGCTTAGTTCTTATGTTTCTTATGCGAACATCGCACCGTATTTAGACTGCTAGGGTTACCAACTATTATTAAAACCTATGATTTGATGTGAGATTCTAGTGGTTGAATGGTACACCATGTTCGATTTTCATCTTTCATTTAATTATTTTTAATTACTCTTCAAATATGGTCTTTCAGGAGTGTCTCTTGGTTACTTTGTAGTGGATTGCTCCTCCTATTGGATTGATTACCTTGGTAATTGTTTCCGAATTTCTTCTCCCAGGGTCTACACCTGCATTTCCCATCGTGAGTCTTGATTTGACGTCACTCGACCTTGGTTGGGTAGGTCGTCCTTTTGTGGTAGCTGTTGATGATCGACAACGCATGTCTCCCAGTATGTGTCCGGCCCGTTATGCTTTCGACTGGTGCAAGTAACCGAAGTCTCCCTGATCTTCCACAAGTGAGTTTTTTGAGAAGAGGTGAATATCAGCATCTAGATCGTCGGAGGGAACCAATCGGTTTCTTTCTTCAGTCTTCATGTATTCTGATTGGCATGATGTTATTGTTGTAGTTAGGCACTAAAACTAGCCGTAACCTGTATGACCTGATTTTTATAACACTGTGGTCGGACGGTGTGTTCTGATAGGTCGTTTGTATACAAGAGTGCATGTGGTTTTGAGTATACATCTCATACAACATGACCTATGTTGTGAGAACCGTTCATGGATGGGATTGAACCAGTATCTCATGGATGGCGACCTGGGAGTGCATCCACTGCACTATAGACCCACAGGTCTATATCAATTTCTTATTGAATCAACTTTCAATAATTTTGTTCTTTTTTTCTTAATCTCATAGGTATAATGGTCTTTTTATCTTGTCGTATTTGCGGATTCCTGATTTTTGTTCCCATTCAATCACCTTTTTACATCTTGCATTTCATATTTTCTTTCGGAAGTAATTGCATACTTTTTCTTGCATCTTTGTTATCTATTTTCTTGCTTCTTTTTCAATTATCTTGCCATGACATATCAAATCCACTATTTTGATAACTAGTTCATCTTCTATTAGTCCTATACAAAAGTTAAGTATGTCCTGACTAGTTTCTGTAATTCTTTCTACCAGTTTTGCTATCTGTTTATCGATTTCTCCTATTTCTATCCTATTATCTATTCTCAAACTTAATTCTTTCTCTTCTGATTCAGTTTTCCTTTCTTTTAAGAACTTTCTAAATCCTTTCAAGACTCCTTCTATTTTTTTTTGTCATGCCTCATTCTACTGAGTCTTATAAGTTAGGCATTCTAGCAAGTGTTCTATTGTTTTCTCTTTCTGGCCACATGTAATGCATTTCACTTGCTTGTAAAGATCTGATCTTCTTATGGTCAGCTTCGTAAATGTTGGTAGCTCATCAATGATCAATTTAGTGAGAAAGCTTTTGTTTTGTGAACTTTTAAATAAGGTGTTCCATGAATGTCCCTTATTAAAATATTTCTATACAAGGTCCCACGTATATCTGTGATGGTCTTGAATTTGCTGGTCCCATCTCCTTTCAATTCTACCTTGAGTTATCCATTGATAGGCTGTTACTTTGTTATTGATTTTTTTAATAGCTTGTCTTATTGGAGTATCTAGTATTATGTTTTGCCATTTAATTTCTGTGATTATTTTGAGCGAGACCAATTTTTTTTATTTTATTACTAACATTCTTAGTGCTTATTTGACCAGAGCATCTGCCTCTTCATTATATTGGATATTGGAGTGTACTTTGACCTTGATAAGTTTGAGATCCAGCTTCTTTTTCTTTACGAAATCTAGTATACGTACCCACAGGAATCAGTTTTGTTCTTTTAACCATCTTTTGTGGATCATTTTGGGATCCTCCTTTTTTATAGTTTTCTATTTCAAGATGTAGGCTTGAATATCTGTAAAAATTTTGATCTTGCTATCTACTGGAGCTACTAGTAGTATAGTAACTATCGCTACTAGTTCTGCTCTAATGAATGAAGGCCAATCCTCTACACCAGTTTGAAACTTGCTTTCTCTTCCTGCTTCTCCTATCTGTATTCATGCTACTCCCATTCTCATATTTATACTTTCGTGATTTATGAGGGACCTGTCAGAGTAGAATGTCATTGGTTCTTTTCTTTGCTTATTGTAATTGAGTATTTCAATTAGATGGGATTGGTAGGCACCTTCTTCAATATGTTCTTTAATAATATTTGTTTCCCAATCCTCTATTTCCACTTGTAATACTTTTTCATTCTGGATAGTTACTTAGTTACTGTATATTGTTCTATCTATTATATCCTCCAATACTTTTTTGGAACTTGGAATTTCCAGTGATTAAGATCTTCTGGTGAACTTTCTTGTATTAAGATAAGGAACCATATGTATTTTCTCTATACTTGTTTCAACTATATATTGGTCTTCTATCTTTATACCTTCTGTATAACCTTAACACCGAATTAGCTTTGATTCTTGATTTTTAACAGAGTTGATATATTCAAAATACTCTATCTTTAGCTGTCTTGAAGTATTATCTAGAATCAATTTCCCCAAATTATCTGTTACTATTGGAATTTGCTTCTTGTAATCACCCAGAGTTTCTGTCACTTGTCAAAGTTAGTGTTGAGAATGGAATGTTCTGAACTCTATTTTATTCATTCTTCTTTTACGGTTTCTATAAGCTGGTTTAATCTATTTTCTTGCATTATCTTGATTATAAATAGGTGCCATCTTGGAATAGGTCCTTTGCTTGTTTTTTGTAGCAGTTGAAGCATTCGCCAGTTTCATAGTTCTCTTGTTTCATGAATAACTAGCTGATCTATATACATTAGTTTATTGTTTCTGAATAATGAAATTGCTTTTTGTATTCTTCTATCGGCAAATATTCTTTAATTGAACTATTTCCTTGATTCCATTCAAAAATGTCATTCTATTTCCAGCTTTAAAAGGTTATACCTATGTCCTTGGTTAGCTTTAGTACTTATAGGAAGAAGTTGCCTTTTCCTGGAATATTGTTTAGTGAGTTACATATAAGCATGTTGACAGGCTCCCAGTATCTAACTTGTGCTTACTTGAGTCTAATAATTGTTGTGGTTCCAGCTGGTCCTGGATTATTTAACCTATTGCACAATCCTGTTATCTGACTTTCTTTTTGTAACATCTAAATACTTTTTAAGTTATGAATCTTGGGATGATGTATTATACTATTGGATATTGATCGGTATAATATGGCCTTATTTTTGAACAGTTTTCTATATATCATTGTTAAGGTGTTACACATCTTCCAAAATAGTATACTGTATTGCACTCTAAATTCGATTCTTGGTATTAGTACTCTATTCAAAATATAAAGAACTTGTTTATCTGTTATCTTTTTATTCTTCAGAGCTCTGGTAACCACATTAATTTCCTTAAGCACTTGTTCTTTAAGCTCAATAGCTGTTTTTTGGTTGCCTATCCAAATTCCTAGGAACCTTGCTTATTCAGTTCTATCCAATTCTCTTACTACTTCTTTATTGACTCCTGCTTGAACTTCTTCTGAATACTGGTTTGGATTATTAATAGTAATTAAGT